ACCCACCCACCAAACCAAATAATAGATTTTTAAAGTAATATGCTTTTGAAAACTGTAGATGAGAATACTCCGTTTGGTTTACGTGAAATCTGGCTTGAGTGATAAGCACTTATGAAAAAGTGGTGAAAAAGTTCTCTAGTGTGGAAAATTAAAATGGCTGACAGCATGCAAAATTACTGCTTTAAATTGGGCTTATTAAGTGCTAGAGGCCCGATGCACGAAGATTCGTGCAAGAATGGGCCTTCCTTCTGCCTTTGCTCTGGCCAGAGCCACCTTTCTGCCTTCTCACACTGCCCAGAGGCCCAGAATGGCTGGGGCGGTGTGGAACGCCTGCATCCCACTTCTCCCCTAGCCACTTGGTGCCTGCATATGCAAATTAACTCACCATCTTTGTTGCGTTAATTTGCATACTCACTCCTGATTGGCTGGTGGGCGTCACAAAGGTACAGTCAATTTGCATCTTTCTGTTTTATTAGTGTAGGTTCATTTTTTCTTTTGAAAACAGGACATCTAACACATTTAGATAATATAGTTTATTAAAAATATGATCCTATTGCCCTAGCCCAGTGGTCGGCAAACTGCGGCTTGCGAGCCACATGCGGCTCTTTGGCCCCTTGAGTGTGGCTCTTCCACAAAATACTGACTTCTGCGCATGGGCCACGAAGTTTCAATCGTACTGTATGTGCGTGCCCGCATGTGGTATTTTGTGGAAGAGCCACACTCAAGGGGCCAAAGAGCCGCATGTGGCTCATCAGCCACGGTTTGCGGAACACAGAGCTATACCATAGATGGCAGGTAGAGGGGCTATACCAGGTGCCCACCCCTGAGCTAGAGTGTTGACTTGTGGACTGAAGGGTCCCAGGTTTGATTGTGGCCAAGAGCACAAACCCAGGTTGCGGGCTCGATCCCCAGTAGGGGATATGCAAGAGGCAGCTGATCAATGATTCTCTCTCATCATTGATGTTGCTATCTCTCTCTCCCTCTCCCTTCCTCTCTGAAATCAATAAAAATATTTAAAAAAATGATACTATGAAAAAAAATTATATCAATTTCAAAAGTTTTTGTACTTTATTAAATTTTCACTTGCTGTTGTAGTCATAAATAATAAAGTAACAAATTTTTCATTTAAAAGGACATATCAATATTCTAATATCCATAGCATAATTGTTTACTTAAATTGCATTTAAAATTTGAAAGATAATGATAAGGTGCACAGAATAATTAAAAATTTGGTCATATCTAAATGCTAAATATACTGAGGTTTCCTGATTATTCAATTAGCATACTCTAGAATGCATGCTACCCAAAAGTTTAAAATTTGATACAAACCTACAAGTTATATTTCGACAAATATATATTATTGAGGAAAACAAAAATCAGTGACTTAAATAAGAAATCAGTGTTCACTGATTTAAATTATACTTTTGTATTAAAATCTAAGTATGTTTTAGGTACTTGAATGCATTAATTACAGAAACTAAATTACCAAATCTCCTGGTGTGAAAATGTGACTAGAAATGGCCTTTTCTGAACGTGGCAGTCACGAACATGACTTCTATTATTCGGGTGCAATGGATGAAAGTTTTAACATTGAAGTGTTAACATTTAGTTCTAATATTGAAATGACATCTATTTAAAACTCTGGAATTAATATAAAATATAAATAAATATAAAAGGCAATAGGCATGAAGAGTTTATGTTGTTTTATCTATAACTTTGATGTAACATGGTTATTATGCTAACTTAAATTATTACAATGTGATTACAGTTTAGCAAAGATTTTGTTGATTCATCTCTGAGATGAAACTCTTTGTTAGAGGTGAATGGAGTATGCCATATTGCAGGGGTCCTCAAACTTTTTAAACAGGGGGCCAGTTCACTGTCCCTCAGACCGTTGGAGGGCTGGACTATAGTTTAAAAAAAAAACTATGAACAAATTCCTATGCACACAGCGGCGGCAAAAACACCCGGCCGGTCGGATAAATGTTTTCGGCGGTCCGCATGTGGCCCGCGGGCCGTAGTTTGAGGACCCCTGCCATATTGTTTTTTGTGTGCTCATCAATTCTCCGTGAAAGATTAAGAGATTATACATCAGGAAGTAAACAAACCTCTTTTGGGTCATCCCCAAGCAGCTTAAATTTTCTTGGTATCTTGCTTCTGGCAAACTTACATCCATTGTAGTACATGCTCCACGAACAACCGAAAGAAAAGGAGGCACCACAGGTCTCTGGATCCAGCCCTTGACAGGCACAGGTTCTCCTGAGAAATCAAAGGATCAAGTTCATGGCTGAGGATAGCAATAGCTATGCCACCAATCTCATATTCTGAGGGCCTGCATGCAAAGTAGTTTTTAACAACATCTAATCTAACTCTATATTAAGCTCTGACATAATCACATCAGAAAATAACTATTTTAATTGACTTTAAAACACAATTTTAAAAAACTTTATTGTAGTATAATACACACACAGGAAAATAAACATAATTTCATAGCTTACAAATGCTTACAAGTGAAATGCCCAAACAGTAGCATCCAAATGAAGAAACAAAACATATACTTGCACCCCAGGATCTCCTTTTAATTCTTCCTTCCAGGAATTGCCCCCCAAAAGCAACTTCTATTAGAAGAGATTAGTATTGCCTATTTTTAGCAATTATATATATATATACACAGACACAGTTTTGCCTATTTTATACTATATATAGGATACTATATACCTACTGTATATAGTGTGTATGTATATATATACATATGTGTATGTAATTTTGCCTGTTAATATAAAAATACTATATTAAAATACTAGTGTTAAATATATTGTATATACAGTATAAAATAGGCAAAACTATATCTATGCATAAATACATACATATGCATATCCTATCTAATAAAAGCAAAACATGGTAATTAGCATACGACCGCTACCCTTCCCATTGGCTAATCAGGGCAATATGCAAATTAACTGCCAGCCAAGATGGCGGCGGGCAGCCAGGCAGCTTGAAACTAACATGAGGCTTGCTTGCTTCAGTGACGGAGGAC